CGAAGGGGACATGTACACTGATCATCAGGACACTGATGATCAGTGTGCCCTGATGATCAGTGTGGCCCCAGAAGTGCCACCTGTCAGTGTCCATCAGTGCCAGCTGTAAGTGCTGAACAGTGCCACATATCAGTGCCCATCTGAGCTGCCTTTCAGTGTCACCCATCAGTGCCAGTCAGTGCCACCTATCAATACTAATCAGTGCCACCTATCAGTGCTGCCAGTCAGTGCCACCTATCAGTGCCACCTATCAGTGCCAGTCAGTGCCGCCTATAGTGCCCATCAGTGCCACCTATCAGTGCCAGTCAGTGTCGCCTAACAGTGCCTGTCAGTGCCGCCTAACAGTGCCAGTCAGTGCTGTCTATCAGTGCCATATATCAGTGCTGCCTTTCAGTGCCCATCAGTGATGCCTGTCAATGCCCATCAGTGCCACCTACCAGTGCCTCATCAGTGCCCATCAGTGCCACCTATCAGTGCCCATCACTGCAGCCTCATTAGCGCACATCAGTGAAGGAGAAAAATCACTTATTTACAAAATTTTATAACAAAAACTAAGAAAAAACTTTTTTTTTTTTTTTTTTAAATTTTCAGTTGTTTTTGGTTTGTTTAAGAAAATATAAAATCCCCGAGGTGATTAAATACCACTAAAATAAAGCTCTATCTGTCACAAAAAAATGATAAAAATTTCATATGGGTACAGTGTTGCATGACCGCGCAATTGTCATTCAAAGTGCGACAGCGCTGAAAGCTGGAAATTGTCCTGTAGGCAGGAAGGGGGGGGTAGAAGTGCCCTGTAGGGAGGAAGGGGGTAGAAGTGCCCTGTAGGCAGGAAGGGGGTAGAAGTGCCCTGTAGGCAGGAAGGGGGTATAAGTGTCCTGTAGGCAGGAAGGGGTAGAAGTGCCCTATAGGCAGGAAGGGGGTAGAAGTGCCCGGTAGGCAGGAAGGGGGTAGAAGTGCCCAGTAGGCAGGAAGGGGGTAGAAGTGCCCGGTAGGCAGGAAGGGGGTAGAAGTGCCCTGTAGCCAGGAAGGGGGTAGAAGTGCCCGGTAGGCAGGAAGGGGGTAGAAGTGCCCTGTAGGCAGGAAGGGGGTAGAAGTTCCCTGTAGGCAGGAAGGGGGTAGAAGTGCCCTGTAGGCAGGAAGGGGGTAGAAGTTCCCTGTAGGCAGGAAGGGGGTAGAAGTCCCCTTTAGGCAGGAAGGGGGTAGAAGTGTGCTGTAGGCAGGAAGGGGGTAGAAGTGTCCTGTCGGCAGGAAGGGGGTAGATGTGCCCTGTAGGCAGGAAGGGGGTAGATGTGCCCTGTCGGCAGGAAGGGGGTAGATGTGCCCTGTAGGCAGGAAGGGGGTAGATGTGCCCTGTCGGCAGGAAGGGGGTAGATGTGCCCTGTAGGCAGGGAGGGGGTACCCTGTAGGCAGGAAGGGGGTAGAAGTGCCCTGTCGGCAGGAAGGGGGTAGATGTGCCCTGTAGGCAGGAAGGGGGTATAAGTGTCCTGTAGGCAGGAAGGGGATAGAAGTGTCCTGTAGGCAGGAAGAGGGTAGAAGTGTCCTGTAGGCAGGAAGGGGGTAGAAGTGCCCGGTAGGCAGGAAGGGGGTAGAAGTGCCCGGTAGGCAGGAAGGGGGTAGAAGTGCCCTGCAGGCAGGAAGGGGGTAGAAGTGCCCTGTAGGCAGGAAGGGGGTAGAAGTGCCCGGTAGGCAGGAAGGGGGTAGAAGTGCCCGGTAGGCAGGAAGGGGTAGAAGTGCCCTGTAGGCAGGAAGGGGGTAGAAGTGCCCTGTAGGCAGGAAGGGGGTAGATGTGCCCTGTAGGCAGGAAGGGGGTATAAGTGCCCTGTAGGCAGGAAGGGGGTAGAAGTGTCCGGTAGGCAGGAAGGGGGTAGAAGTGCCCTGTAGGCAGGAAGGGGGTAGAAGTGCCCGGAAGGCAGGAAGGGGTAGAAGTGTCCAGTAGGCAGAAAGGGGGTAGAAGTGTCCTGTAGGCAGGAAGGGGGTAGAAGTGCCCTGTAGGCAGGAAGTGGGTAGAAGTGTCCGGTAGGTGAGGGGTTAAAGAACACCATCCTTACAGTATTGGTCAAGTGTTCAACTTTAAATGTGGATTTTCTTTATCAATAGTATAGTATACATTTCTAGAGACTAATAACTACGGTACTGTTTAATACTTAATATTAATAATAATACTAATACTACTGATACTAATAATACATTATTATTTTTATTTCAGGTACTTATATAGCGCCGTCAATTTACGCAGTGCTTTACATATATATTGTACATTCCCATCAGTCCCGCCCCCGAGGGGTGTACAATCTAAGGTCCCTAACTCACATTCATACATACACATACTAGGGACAATTCACCTACCAGCATGTCTTTGGAGTGTGGGAGGAAACCGGAGTACCCGGAAGAAACCCATGCAAGCACAGGGAGAACATGCAATCTCCAGGCAGGTGGTGCCGTGGTTGGGATTCAAACCAATGACCCAAGTACTGCCAGGCGGAAGTGTTAACCATTTAGCCGCTGTGCTGCCCTAATACTGATACTAATAAATAATAATGATACTAATACTACTGATACTGATACTAATAACTACTGATACTACCAGTAATAATTATATTATTAATAACACATGCACATTAATATAAATAAAATAAATGTAGAGCTACCCTCATACGGGCCGCTGTTTTGTGGGTACCCCTAAGCTCTCTGCACAGCCAGGCAATGGGTATTTCTCACACAGACTTGCATCCAAGAGGCAGTTACCAGTCCATGAACTTGGCTTTGTTATTTTTTAGGGGAAATAACTTGGATAGGGAGATAGGGATTATGGGATGCCCATTTGGCTTGAATCAATAAGGGGGACAACTTCCTTCCTATGTACAAAGGCAGATCCTGGACTGATCTTTTCCTTGAAAGCCGTCAGTTGTTGCGGATCAGTAGGAGCCGCCCTTTTATGGGTGAGGAACTAGCAGCCCCTCAAAAATCAGCTTAGCTTCTTGTAGCTACACGCAGAGATGTCTTCTCTCCCCTGTAGAACTGCTCCCAGCTCCACAGACTGCAGATACACTACCAGCCCTCCTGGCTGCTCGGAAAACGTAGGGGACCCCTCCCAGGTACCGACAGTCTCCTTCGCACTCCATCTTCCACCCGACTCCCCTGTCAGCTTGACTCTCCCATATTTATGAGCCAGTCCACCGCTCTACCAGGGCAAAACCTGGGATTCGCGGGACTCCCAAAAACATGCAGATGAAGTCTCCACCCCTTCCTGCTTAAAAACTTCGGGAATGGTCTATGGTCCTCCAGAGTCAGGAGGAGGCGATAGAGACACAACCTGTTAAGTCATCCAGCTGACCTGCAATAACCCGACCTAATCACAGACTCACACAGTTACCATGAGTCTCACAATGATTTACCTACAATACACTACACTGTTCTAGAAGCACAATAGAGGGAGCTACATGAAATACATGGATTAATATGAAATCCTACTACAGTCCTACTATTCCATTGTCTTTGACTATGAGCGCTCCTGATAAGAACGCTCCATGTATTCCTTTGCCTTTGACTATGAACGCTCCATGTATTCCTTTGCCTTTGACTATGAACGCTCCGTGTATTCCTTTGTGTTTGACTTTGGACTGTCCATGTATTTCTATGAGCGCTCCTGACTATGAATGCTCCGTGTATTCCTTTGCCTTTGACTATGAACACTCCATGTATTCCAATGTTTCTGACTATGAAAGCTCTTTGTATTCATTTGTATTTCACCATGTATTATTTTGCCTTTGCTTTGTCTATGAATGCTCCATGTATTCCTTTGCCTTTGACTACGAACGCTCTGTGTATTCCTTTGTCTTTGACTATGAACGCTCTGTGTATTCCATTGTCTTTGACTACAACGCTCCGTGTATTCCTTTGTCTTTAACTATGAATGCTCCATGTATTCCATTGTCTTTGACTACGAACGCTCCGTGTATTCCTTTGTCTTTGACTACGAACGCTCCGTGTATTCCTTTGTCTTTGACTATGAACGCTCTGTGTATTCCTTTGTCTTTGACTACGAACGCTCTGTGTATTCCTTTGTCTTTGACTATGAACGCTCTGTGTATTCCTTTGTCTTTAACTATGAATGCTCCATGTATTCCATTGTCTTTGACTATGAACGCTCCGTGTATTCCTTTGTCTTTGACTATGAATGCACCATGTATTCCATTGCCTTTGACTATGAACGCTCCGTGTATTCCTTTGTCTTTGACTATGAACGCTCCGTGTATTCCTTTGCCTTTGACTACGAACGCTCCGTGTATTCCTTTGTCTTTGACTACGAACGCTCCGTGTATTCCTTTGTCTTTGAGTATGAACGCTCCGTGTATTCCTTTGCCTTTGACTACGAACGCTCCGTGTATTCCTTTGTCTTTGACTATGAATTCTCCATGTATTTCATTGTGTTTGACTTTGGACTGTCCATGCATTCCTTTGTCTTTGACTATGAACGATCCATGTATTCCAATGTTTCTGACTATGAACGCTCCATATATCTCATTGCCTTTGACTATGAAGGCTCCATATTCCTTTGCCTTTGACTATGAACGCTCCGTGTATTCCTTTATCTTTGACTATGGAGGCTCCATATTCCTTTGCCTTTGACTATGAACGCTCCGTGTATTCCTTTATCTTTGACTATGACCGCTCCATATTCCTTTGCCTTTGACTATGAACGCTTCATGTATTCCTTTATCTTTGACTATGAACACTCCATATTCCTTTGTCTTTGAGTATGAACACTCCATGTATTCCTTTATCTTTGTCTTTACTATGAACACTCCATATTCCTTTGTCTTTGACTATGAACACTCCATATTCCTTTGCCTTTGACTATGAACGTTCCTTGTATTCCTTTATCTTTGACTATGAACACTCCATCTACTCCTTTCTCTTTGTCTTTGACTATGAACAATCCATATATTTGTAGAAGTTTTACGAGTTAGTCTTCTAATTTTCTTTTGCAGGAGAAGACTATGCCCAACTACATTATTCGGCTCTACAAGGACTCAGATTATGATGCAGTCCGAGATATCTTTTCCCGAGGCATTAAAGAACACACCAAGACCGCTTTCTTTCACACTCTCAGTCTCCCTCACATCTGGGCTTTCCTGCTGGCCGTGTTTTTGGTTCTCCTACAGGTGATGGGGTCTTACCTCCTCTCCAGCATGGCGGTGTCTCTCAGCGTGGCAGCACTATGGCTCCTAAACAGATATATCTATGCTACTTATGTTGCAGATAGCCTGGCTACTGACATGATGAATATCCGGAAATATTACTTAGAGCAGGATGGTTACTGCTTCTGGGTCGCTGAGTTGGCGGGGGAAATTGTGGGGATGGTCGCTGCCATTCCTCCATATCCTCCCACTGGAGAAAACCAGGTGGAGCTTAAGAGATTGTCAGTTCCCATGAAACACAGAGGGAAAGGGATCGCTAAGGCCTTGTGTAGCACAGTCATTGACTACGCCCGGAAGAGAGGCAGTAGTGCGGTGGTGTTAAGCACCTCCTTGTCTCAGAGTGATGCCTCAATGTTATATCTAAAGATGGGCTTCAGAAAAACCAACACCGAAACCAATGAACCATTTATAATTGCAAAATTTATTGACTTCAGAATACTGTATTACCAATATGACATTCCCACTCAGAGATAAATCACATATTTTTTTTTAAATATAGCCAGCAAATTTTTAATCACCCTACATTGCCATGTTGTATCACCTTTGGTCTTAATAGCCGATCGACATCATGAGGGTGACTACCAGGGCATGATGAGAGGTACCAGTGCACTGTACAATTGTCCATGGTTAGGGAGCAAATATTCCCTTCTGTGTAGAGTTTCAAAGACATTATATCATGTGCTGACTATGCTATCATATTGTGTGGTCATACGAATCCTCATTCCAATAGACCCAAACCAAAGATGTTCCAGACCAAAGATGTTTTTCTAGCCATTGATGTTGTTTATTTGCTGCACTTTTTATCATGGATAGTAGAGGTACCATGTATGGCTGCTCTAAAACCCCCAAAATGAACAGTTCAATGCATTACAGTATTCTGCTATAACTTCCAATTGTGTTTTGATGTTGAAGTTATAAAAATGCCAAAGTTTTAATTTTCATTGATGAACTCACTGGGTAGAATTACCCATTATTTTGACCAGAAATACTGAAAGCGATGTACAATTCAGATTTCTTAGATTGTCACCAGAACAGGAATACAGTAATACCTCGGTTTACGAATTTAATTAGTTCTGCAGGACTTGTTGTATAGCAAACAATTTGTAAACTGAAACACGTTTTCCCATAGTAATGCACTGAAAACCAATTAATACGTTCCTGAGGTCAGAAAAAAGTAAAAAAACAATCTTTTATCTGTTCAAAACTCTTTATAAAGTGCATTTTAAAGGCATAAATACTGTACAGGGACAGGATTAATCAAGCAATAACATTCAAACATCCAACTTCAACTTTTAAAGCATCAAATATCAACTTTTAAAACATGGCAAACTTTTCAAAACAATTTCAAAACTTTTTGGAAGAGGAGGAGGAGCAGGGCAACTGGGCAGCACTAACACAAGCAGGTTCTTCTTCATGTCTAGGCTGTTTTAGTAGAAACCTTTCCATTGTCTGCTGCCTCCGGCACCTTTTAAGCATCCCCCGGAAAGGGGACATGATGTCGGTGTCAAAACTGTTCACAAGTCTCTGGTCTAGAGCCTTATCTGGGTGGTGCTGCTGTCCAAAGTCTGTAGGTTTACCCACAGTTGGCATACCTGCTTGAGTTCCCCGGAAGAGAGCTGTTCCTCACTCGTTTCCTCCTCCTCAAATGAGACCTCCTCCATTGCCTCCTTCTGCAGTTCCACCAGGTCCTCAGTGGTTAGCTCACGGTTGTGTCCCTCCTCCACCAGCTTGCAGACATCCTGCTTGGTCAGCTCCAGCCCCATGGTCCTCCCCAAGGAAACAATCTCCTCCAACACTGTTGACTCTGGTGCAGGTGCAGAAGCATTGGAGTCAGGTGTCACAACACAGTCTGGCCACAGGTTGCGCCAAGCAGAATTTAGGATTCTCTGGCTTACCCCAGCCCAGGCAATGGTGATAATCTGCAGACAGCTCACGATGTCAAAATGGTCTCTCCAAAATTCATGGAGGGTGAGGCTTGATCGATCTGTCATCTCAAAGCATCGCCAGAAAAGCTCCCTTGTGTAGAGTTGTTTAAAATTGGAGATGACCTGCTGGTCCATTGGCTGGAGTAGTGGGGTGGTGTTAGGAACACGACTGTGATGAAGTTAAAGTCCTCCAGCAGGTCTTCCTCGAGGCCTGGAGGATGAGCAGGAGCATTGTCCATGAGCAGCACGGCCTTGAGTGGCAGGTTATTGTCTACAAGGTACTGCTTGACATCAGGAGCAAAAACTACATTGACCCACTGCACAAACAAGTGGCATGTGACCAAAGTCTTTGGGTTGGACCACCACAAAACGCTCAACTGCTCCTTCTTCACTTTGTGTTTCTTGAAGGCCTGTGGGTTCTCTGAGTGGTAGATGAGCAGGAGCTTAATCTTAAGGTCCCCACTGGCATTGGTGCAGAACAGGAGGGTGAGACGGTGCTTCATTGGCTTGTAGCCAGGCAGTGAGGTCTCCTCTTCTGTAATGAAGGTATGCTTTGGCATCCTTTTCCAGAAGAGCCCAGTCTAGTCATATTTGAAGACATGCTGGGGAAGGTAGCCCTCTGAAACCATGACTTGCAGGAACTCAGAAGCAAATTCCTCAGCTGCAGCAACATCGGAGCTTGCGGCTTCTCAATGCCTGACCACGCTGTGGATGCCAGATCTGGTCTTGAAGCTTTCGAACCACCCCCTACTCACCTTGAAGCCTTCTGCATCAGCTGACATTCCTGGCTGTTGGTCGAGGAGGTCAGTGTGCAAGGCCTTGGCTTTTTCACAGATGATCGCCTTGGTCACTGTGTCCCATGCATGCTGATTCTCTTCAGTCCAGAGCAGGAGCAACTTTTCCACCTTCCCCAGAACAGATGGCCCTTGCTTTGAGACCCTGGTGACTCCCTTGGCTGCATCTCTCCCAGTTATCTTCTCTTTCATCTTTAGGATGGTACCGATTGTGGATGCACTCCTTCCATGCTCTTTGACGAGGTCAGTCAATCGCATTCCTCCTTTATGCTTCCTGACGATTTCTTTCTTGACCTCAAGAAGAACCATCTCCTTCTTCCTCTTCCCAGATTCCACTGCTTTCTTGAGTGCCATGACACCACAGTCACTAAGTGAGCAGAAAATAAAAGAAATGCTTTACACCCACAACCAGGCTCCCAGTGCTCCAGTCCAAGAGCCCTAAGTCTATCCACACAAGCTAATGAAAACCCCAAAAATCTGTCCACATGAGCTGGCATGGAAAGCACCCCACAATGCAGAACACACAGTAAAAGGCATGCAAATGACAAAGCTCAGCTCCTTTCCACAGACTCCAGCATGCACTGCGCTATAAACCTCCCAGACGAAATGCATCCTGGGGAAACTTGCTTCGTATTGCAGGAAAAATTTGTAAACCGAGGCATTATTTTCAATGTATTTTCATTCAGAAACAAAAAATTCAGTTAACCGAGGCGTTTGTAAACTGAGGCACCACTGTAGAAGGGAAATCATCCAATGGGAACATCTTAAAAGTGCAATAATGCCGCGCTCCTAAAAAACTAAATATGCTCAAAGAATCATAAATACTCAAATTATTGTGCTATAAATCAAACAATCATTGATCAATCGAAGTAAATTGAATATATATAAAATATAAATGTGTAAAAAATCCCAATTAATATGGTGATAAAGTCAATTCATAAATTCCAACAAGTACTTTTCTTGAAAAAAGTGCCCTCCAGATTTGGATATCAATATGCGCTCACCTCAATGGAAGCCTAACTTGCAATTAGGCAACCATAGCTTTATGTTTTAAAAGACAGGATGGATCATCTCTTCTCTGTTAGTAGTATGCAGAATATTAGATGTAATTCTGTGTTTCATCCACCGCGGTTTTCTTGGTGGTCTGCTCCCTTGATAAAGATTAGATTACATGGACCCAGGGGCGAACTGACAACTCATGGGGCCCCTGGGCAATAGGGGATCATGGGGCCCCTGTGTCCTTGCCCAAACTCAAAAAAGCCTATGAAAAAGGTACCAGGGGAATCTCATGGGGCCCCCAACTGAACCCGGGCCCTCGGGCAGTGTCCGAGTTTCCAAATGGTCAGTCCGCCCCCTGATGAAGCCACGTGACCCGGTGGCGCAACGCGTAGGGGAGGGGCTCTAACATCATCACACACACAAGATCATAGCAGCGAGTATAGGCTGTGTGTTCAGCACACACAGAGGAGGCTCTATAAGGAGTGTTAATGTTGTTTCTATTGTGAGTGTACAGATATACTGCTTACAAATAAAAAGTGTTAAAGGATAAGGCACTATATTCTTCTTTCTTCCATATACTTTGCACTGAGGAGAACTAAGGAGAAACAGAGAAATGGAAAGATAGATCTTTATCCTGCAGCATAAAATGGGGGAGGTCCATGTAACCTAATCTATATCAAGGGAGCAGACCACCAAGAAAACCCTGGTGGATGAAACACAGAATTACATCTAATATTCTGCATACTACTAACAGAGAAGAGATCATCCATCCTGTCTTTTAAAACATAAAGCTATTGAAGGAAAACCGAGGGCTGGGCCCACAGATTCAGAGGGTACACGATGCCACACAGACAGCGGTTCTTTTACAACAATTACGTTTACTGAACAGTTATAGTGATCATGTAGCTGAGCATACGTAAACAGAATGATAACAGCGCATAGCCATACAGTAAGAATAATACTGTCTAACACTAACCCCGTACTTGCGGACTTTTCCCCAATGTCCAGAAAGCAGCCTGGCTGCGCCTGAATGTTCCTGAGCAAGATACAACGTTGGGGTGCACCCTAAGTATTGCGCAATACTATTTGTAATCCAAAGGAAAGCGGAGTGTGTCTCTTGTAACTTTCTGGTATATCCAAAATGTCACTGACCACGTGTGGTGCGATGTGCTGCGGCAAAGCCACACTTACGGTTCCCTGGCAGGCTCTTGGTGCTTTCTCCTGACCCACTCCGGAACCGGACCATACAGTCACTTGTTTCCTGGTCTCGTTGTGGATCTTCCTTAGGTGCCCTCGCCAGATTCCACTGTGAGCCGTAAATCCTCTTCCAGGCCCCACACAGATTCTCCAGACGTCCTCAGCATCCATCAGCCAGACCCAGACTCCACTTCCTCCTCAGCACAGGAACTCCTCCCCTTCCCATAGAGTTTGTGATGCAGTAAGTCATTTCCTAATTGCAGCCTCAAACCTGCATTTACAGTTCACTATGACCCTTCTGAGGGTCCTACTCGGCCCTTTAATTAGTATTCATTAAACTTTATAGGGTAAATAAGCATTTATCTTGTCTTAGCAAAAGTCACTACAAAATCGATTCTTGTACTTTGCTGCCATCTACTGACCAAAGAGCATATTGCAGTTTAACATTACACACCAGTATTAATCCATGTGTCACACCCTTACACTATGGTGGCCTAATTGCAAGTTAGGCTTCCATTGAGGTGAGCGCATATTGATATCCAAATCTGGATAAGAAAAG